CTTCAAACCCACTCCCTTCTAGTACTGATGATGTTATGAAAGGTCTGCAAGAAAACAACCAAGCTTAGAGAGCACCAAGGACCTCATAGTCCTTCTCCTTCTCCTCCTTCTCGTCCTTCTTCTCCTTCTACTCTTCCCTCTCCCCCTCCCCTTCTCCTCCTCCTCCCCCTCCTCTTCCTCTCTTCAAACCCACTCCCTTCTAGTACTGATGATGCTATGAAATGTCTGCAAGAAAACAACCAAGCTCAGAGAGCACCAAGGACCTCATAGTCCTTCTCCTCCTCCTCTCTGCAAACCCACTCCCTTCTAGTACTGGCAATGCTATAAAAGGTTTGCAAAAAAAACACAACAACCAAGCTCAGAGAACACCGAGGACCCCTCGACTGATACCTCCACTCCTTCTGTTCTTGGATCCTGTCCAGTCTAGGATTTTACAACCCTCCTGAATATTCCTTCTGTGATCAAGCAATGGATCCAAAGCATATTCGGGATGACTCATACAGAACGGAAAGCTGTCGGTCCATCTGGCCTTCTAAGAAAGATTGACGCTGGAAGTCCAGGATACTGCAGAGGAAATATTCAGGATGGTATGGCAGTTGTCGGTGGCAAGACATTATCATCACACAGATCCGTGAGGAAATGAAAGCCGCTTTAGTGGGAAACCACACTTTCCAACTGGAAGTACGATAGATAGGGGCCGTTCCTTGACCACACGGGGAGACGTCAACTTAACAATCCTAGCTGATTTACACCTTGGCTTCCAAACACCAGCATTGGCGATGACCTGGCTGCCCATAATTGCAGCCTCCTCCTGTTTATTTCCCAGGCTTTGAAAATAAAAACCCAACATCCTAACGTGAAGTAAGTCGAGCTGCAAAACGAGCCAAAAACAGGAAAATCCTCCGTTGCCTTCCAGTTGGCTAGGAAAAATTAACGTTTCTGTTTCCAGTAGAAAATCCCAAAGGTGCTTTTTTTTTCAGGAGGCCACTGGACTTTCTTGTTTTTCTCTGAAGACGTTTCGCTTCTCATCCCAGAAGCTTCTTCAGCTCTGACTGGATGGTGGAGCAACGGAAGGATTTATACTCCTTGCAGACAGCTGGTCATTTGCATGCTTTTTGAGAGTTGTTGAGGCCACTTGGAGGTTATCTGTGTCCTCAGGGTCACCTGAGGGGTGCAAATAGAGGTGGAGTCATCTTGGAACAGCTGAAAGGGCTGCGTTGTGGAGCCGTGCTTTCTGCAGGGTGTTTTCTGCCCTGTGTCTACTAGGAATATAAATCCTTCCCTTCTCCACCATCTAGTCAGAGCCGAAGAAGCTCCGTGGATGAGAAGCGAAACATCTTCAAAGAAAAAACAAGGAGATCCAGTTGCCTCCTGAAAAATGCACTTTGAGGACAACCCTGACCTGGACAACTGAGAATCTCCACAGATATTGTTGGCGTCTCTCTCTAACTCACAATCGTAATTTCTCCAGACCGTGTTATTGACCTCTAACCCTGTTCAAGATGTACTTCACAAAAACACAAGATACACACTTGTCCTCACCCTGAAGCACTGTTTTTCCCCCCTCTTTTGTTGGATCCTGTGCCTTGTTCAGACCCCAGAAGTTTACTGGCTTACGGCTTATGACTGAGGCTCTCCTTGGACATTTCCAAGAGAAATTTCCCTGAGGACCCTCCACCTTGGGATTGACAAAACTATGCCCTTCACCTCTTACCCCACCACTGACCATCTTTACCCAGGCTGCCTTCACACAAACCAGACCTGTTTTAAGACAGGTGGAACAGTTTCGGGCCCTGAGTCATATGGAAAAAAAAACCCCGCGCTGTGGAAAGATCAACAGTCCCACACAAGCGGGCTAAAGAGCCTCCAATGAGCAACACTAAAAAAAACCCCCCACACACACCGAGGTTTTCCAGCAGCGTTAGACCTCAAATAAAGCCAGGGAAAGATAAATTATGACTCCTGGTTGTCCCCTGTTGTAAAGATCTCTGCATCTTTCATGGAAAAGCAAGGGAGGCGTTCTTCGTGGGAGAGAAAAATGGCACTCTTGTGAGGTGTGATTAAAAAGCTTAATCGAACTTTTTTTTGCATCCTTCCGGAAGGAGACCGATACGGCCGATAACGTTCACCAAAACCTGGGAAGTAAGAGATCGTTGCAGCGATGGCAAACCCCCCAAAGTATCAGTGTAATAATTTGGGAAAGGTACCATGCAGGAATAATAATAATAATAATAATAATAATAATAATAATAATAATAATAATATGTAAATTAGTTTTAGCGACAGCTCCTTTCCCTATCTCAGGTCTTCAGAATAACAGAGTTGGAAGGGACCTTGGAGGTCTTCTAGTCTAGTCTCAAGCAAGAGACCCTTGACCAGGGGTCTTCAAACTTGGCCCTTTTAGGACTTGTGGACTTCAACTCCCAGAATTCCTCAGCCAGCGTGCCTGGCTGAGGAATTCTGGGAGTTGAAGTCCACAAGTCCTAAAAGGGCCAAGTTTGAAGNAGACCCTTGCCCTATACCAATTCAGACAAATGGCTGTCCAATCTCTTCTTAAAAATCTCCCAGTGATGGAGCACTCATAACCTCTGGAGGCAAGCAGTTCCACTGGTCAATTATTCTATCAGAAGATTTCTCCTTAGTTCTAGATTGCTTCTCTCCTTGATTAGTTTCCATCCATTGCTTCTTGTCCTGCCCTTCAGGTGCTTTGGAGAATAGCTTGACTCCCTCTTCTTTGGGGCAGCCCCTGAGATATTGGAATACTGCTATCATGTCACCCTTAGTCCTTCTTTTCATTAAACTAGACATACCCAATTCCTGCAACCGTCCTTCATGTGTTTCTTTAGCTTAATATTTCCTACACTTTTTCTTCTTATTATTATTATTATTTATTATTATTTATTGAATTTATACACCGCCCTATCTCCCTTACGGGACTCAGGGCGGTGAACAGCGATAATAAAAACCACGATAAATATACGCAAGTTTCTGTTCTAAAATCAAATTAAATAACAGGCCTGCTCTAAAATACCCCATACAAAACCCCCACTAAAACATAATCAAACTACGAGAGGTCATCTACGTACATAAATATCCACCCGCCTATTCCTAAAGTATTTATGTACGTAGATGACCACTTTAAGAAAACCCTCCTTTGTGCTAATAGTAGGAAGGGGAAAAACCTTGACCTCATTACCAAAATTTCCCCCTTCTTTTTGCCTGCCTCCGTTTTCCACCGCAGAGGCTCCTCTCCCTCTCGCGAACGAAATATCAACCATGATGGAACCTTAAATATTATTTTAATCTCGCGCTTTCTGTTATTGCAACTGTTGGGTGTCTAACAGTTCTTTTCACTTCTTGGAGAGATTCCAGGTCCTGAAACGCACCAAACCTACATTTGATTTTCAAGGGAAGGACCCTCTGGAGATTTAGATGTGGGTCAAGAAGAGTTGCTCCTTTGCTTGATGTTGAATGTTCCTCATCGCTCAATATGTTCTTTCTTCCATTCAATCTTCTAGAGAGTTGTCTGCACGGGAGAACTGAAGTGGTATCCATACCTTGACTTGATCTACTGCATCAAAGGTTGTGAGGTGAGTAAGGCAGTCCAGTTCTCTGGGTTTACCCCTTACTACAGATCTTGTCTCTCTCTCTCTTTGCTCAAGTCTTGCAGCTCCATCGTTCCCCCTTCACCACCGTAATCTATGATGGTGGCCTTGGGGGGGGGGG